TGTTTTCCAAATCTTTTTGTAATATATTTTCTCAACTCTTTGTAATGCGATTCAAATCTTAATCATAAAGCTTCGAAAAAAAGTGAGACAAATCTTCTTATAACTTGTTGTTTTCTTTCTTGTTAAAACATACAAAAAATCGAAAAATGAAGCAATTTTTTATTTGAAAATATCGGTTCGGTTTGTGTCTGTATGTAAGAGAATTCTTGTTTAAATGGTTTCTTGTTTAAAAAAAAATCATTGGATTTTGAAGTTTATTAACTTGAGACAATTTGAAACATTGCTACTTTTAAAGCGGAAGAGCGTTGGAAAAAAGATCACATGTGACAATGCACTCTTATTTGATAAAAGCAAATATTTATCATTGAGAATGTTGTTTACAGCATAAATTGATATGGCTTTTTTAATCTTTTTCTCTTTGAAAGTTCGGCCGAATTTTAAACGAGAACACTATGGAAATTTGACTCAACGATGGCTGAAATCTTTACGAACACGTGAATCGATTAGTACGTAAATGAGACTAATTCATAAAGAAAAAATACATTCTTTTTGTTTAGATAAACATGTAACTGTTTTCGAACAAGATCTTTGTCAATTAGTTAAAGAATTAAAACAATTTGTTTTTCTGGATATTTATAGTAATACAGATTCTGAAAAAGTCGAACCTTATCGCTCAATGGTCCAGAAACGTTTTCCTAATAGTCAACTTTGTATTGACAAATTAAGATTTCGTCTTTGGATATGATTTTTTTCTTTGTAATTATAGAATAATTGTATATTAAAAATAAATAGGTTGAAAAACAACATGATCAACATGTGCCAATATACATATATTACGAATAGATTCAATATCTTGTAATTCAGAAAGAATCTCTGATGACTAAGTTATAGTAGCTGACATTGTTGTCTGGAAGTACTTTGTATTTTTTTTCTCTAAAATAAAGGATCGATTATGGTCTTAAATAAATCATGATATAATAGCTGTGTGAAGTTGTAATTAGGCAAGAATAAAAAAAAACAAATATATATGACTCAATTTACACTCGTTCTTCAAAATGAGAAAAAAAGAAAATAACGCTGACAGGAAAAGTACAGCAACAGAAAAAAAATGTTGAAAAAAAACAGGAAAATAAGACTAACATAATAATATTGGTATTGCTTGGTTGCTTTTCTTTATTTCCGATACCATTTTTGCAATGTATCATATCGTTTAATCTTTCGCTGTAATTGTAAAACACCATAGATTAACGCTTTTGCGCTTGGTGTACAACTAGGCATGTATACATCAATTGGAATAATACGATCACATCCGTGTATCTATCGAAGAAAAGATTTTTTAAAGTTTATAAAAACGAATCATTATGAATGTTTTATCGCATGTGAATAATGATAATAACCACTATCATTAGCACATGAACTCATCGAAATAACCCATTTAGGATGAGGCATTTGCTCGTAAAGTCGTCGAATATCTATATAAAGATATTATCGAATATCATAATCCTGACAGATGTAACTGATGCACGAGCACTTTTAGCTAGTCATACCCGCGCAGGGTGTGGGTGGGTTTGGGTATGTGGGTGTGGGTGTGGGGTGTGGGTGACTGGGTGTGGGTGTGGGTGTGGGTGTGGGTGTAAATGTGCGGGTGTGGTAGTGGGTGTGAAACGATCTACTCTCATCTACACCCACCCGCACACGCTTATCCACACCCACGCTCACCCACACACCCACACCCACACCCACCCCACACACCCACACACCACCCACACTCTAACCACTAATAATAAAATAACGAAATTAAAATCAATCTATTTAAATGAATATATATCTGTGTATTTAAATGATTTAAATGATCATGTTAATGAATTAATTGATTCATTAGAAATTCAACGTGAAAGTGTGTCAATTCTTATTTCATTTTGGACAGCATTAACTAGTAATGAAATACAAGGAATACTTAAAATTCTTATGCTTATAACTGTTCTATTTATGCCATGTACTTTATTAACTGGTATCAATTCAACAAATTTTCAGATCCAACCACAATATAACTATGAATATGGTTATTATATTATACTTTCAATTTTAGCTTTGATTCTTATTGGTATGATTACATGGTATAAAACTAAACAATGGATATAATTTTTCTTTTTCTTTTTTTATTGAAACAATAGAAATATATATGTATAACCATTTGTTTCTAAAATTTAATTAATTTTCTATTTAATAATCAATTTATTAAAGTTATTTTTAAAAAAGAAAAAGCAAAAACTGTACATAGTTAAACATTCGTTTGTTTATTAGTTGTATTTGATAAATTAGCATTAAGACAAAGAAGTTCTTTAAGTTCAGGCATAACTATTGATCGATATTTTTTTTCTAATGTTACCATATATTCAATTGCATTACGCATTGAAAATCCTCGAATTTGATGACACTAATATTTACAAAAAGACACAAAGATTAAAACTATGTCAATTATTTTTTTTTTTAAAGCTACAAACTTTAAGAAATGGTAATAAATTTCTTGATGAATGTTGATAGATAATATCTTGTTGTAAATGACGAAGAAGTGCAACACAAAAATAAACTTGATAATCAATACCATAAAGTATACATACACAAATATATGTTATGATTTCTGGCCAATCTAATACAGACCAAAAACATTGTTTTGTCCAATGTACAACCATCTTTACAAGGAAAAACATATATATATGTTTTTGTATTTTCGAATAATAAATAATGAACTTACATGAGAAATTGCAAAACCCGACATTCGAAAAGCAGCAAAAACTGGTGCCATTTCTTGTTCAACAATTAATTCAACACAATGACCAGAACCAACATAAACAGGATGTAAACCATTTATACTCATTTCATTACTCACAAATGGCTAAGAAATTAGAAAAAAATCAAATGTAAATAGTTTTTTTTTTTAATTAAAGAATTAGAAACAAATAAATACAGTATTAAAAAGACGTGCATGCCAAAGAAAACCAGCTGGTAAAAGTAATGAAAATGTACGTAACCATCGCCATGATCGCACATCATCACAACCCATTAGAAGAAAAATACTTGTCGAAAACCAATCAAAACCGGGATAAGCATCTGATGATGATGTATAA